CACTTTCCTTCTAGGTCCTCTAATAAGGCCCTGGCTGAGCCCTTTCATGTTTGTTGTGGTTAGACGCCATTCAGTCGAGTATGACTCATAGAGATGTTTGAACAGCCAACCTGAAACCTGCCCTCTCCTGTGCTGTCATCTTCTCTGAGACACTAGAGCCCATTGCTGAGGTCACAGTGTCAATCCATCTCATTGGGGGTCTTCCTCTCCTTCACTGACCATCCGTCTTGTCAAGCATGATGTCCCTTTCCAAGAAATAGCCTCACCTAGATATATCCTCAAAGTATGAAAGATAAAGCTTTGTCAACCTTATCTCCAAGGAACACTCTGGCCACACACCCTTTCTAGGATAGATCTGTTTGTTCTTTTGGCAATCCATAGAATATTCATTACTCTTGTCTAGCACCACAACTCAAAGACATCAGTTCTTCTTCTGTCATCTTTATTCATTGTCCAGTTCTCTGATGTGTACATACCAGTTGATTGAAAAGACTATGACCTGAATCAGGCCCTCCTTGGCCTTCAAACCTACATTATTGCTCTTCACCATTTTGGGGAGGTTCCTGACAGCCGACTTTCCCAATGCAGTCTGTCTTCTGCTCTCCTGCTGCTTGTACTAAGTATGTTAATTGTTAATCCAAGCAAGATGAAATCATTGATAGCTTCAATCTTTTCGCCATCTACCATAATGTTGACTGTTGGACCTATGGTGATGATCTTTGTCTTATTCATGTTGAGATGCAAGCCATATTGAATGCTATAGTCCTTGATCTTCTGCAGCAAACATTTCACGTCCTACTCAAATTTAGCAAGCAAAATTGTGTCGTAAGCATAATGCAGGTTGTTGATGAGTCTTCCCCAAATCCTGATGCAACACTCCTCTTCATAGAGTCCAGCTTCATGAATTATTCACTCAGCATACAGATTGAATAGGTATAGAGAAAGGATACAATCCTGACGCACACCCTTCCTGACCTTAAATCATGCAGCGTTCCCTTGCTCTGTTTGCACAACAGCTTCTTAGTCTAGCTATAGATTCCGTATGAGCACAGTTAAGTGTTCTCGGATTCCCATTCTTCTCAGTGTGAGCCATAATTTGTTATATTCCATGCAGTCAGATGGTTTTGCATAGTCAACAAAATACATATATGCATTTTTCTGGTATTCACTTCTTTCAAACAGGATCCATCTGATATCAGCAATGATACCCGTAGTGCCATGGCCTCTTCTAAAACCAACTTGTACTTCTGGAAGTTCCCTGTGAATGTGCTCTTCCAGCTGCTTTTGAATGATCTTCACTGGTATTTTGCTTGCATGAAATAGTAATTATATTATTTGGTAGTTTCTACATTCTGTTGGATTTCTTGGGAATTGTAGTGGCTCTTAACTCTTAACTAAGGATTCCCCCTGCCTCCCGCCCCAGTTCCAGGAGACATTTGGCAATTTCTGTAGACATTTTTGGTTATTAAAACTCAGGAGATAGAGGTGAGCTGTTATTGGCATCTACTGAGCCAAGGGTGTTACTGTGTAGCCTATAATACACAGGACAACATCCCACACTAAAAATTATTCTCCAAAAATGTCAGTAGCACTGAGGCTGAGCAACTGTGATCTACTGAGCTACAGAGATTCAGAAGGTTAGAGACTGTGGCCTTGATAACTGGCTGAGGGGTGAAGTCACCCTGTGAAAAGATCATCTGGCTAGGAAGCAGCTTCCTGAGATTTTAAAACCTATCTGATTCTTCCTAGCTGTTACCTCCCCTTCCAGAAGAGGGAGTGTAAATGGAGCTGAGGAAGTGAGAAGTCTTCTACTCCCCTGACCTTGGAACACTTCATTTCCTTCCATTGTCATGTAGTGGTGCTGGGACCAGGCTGGAGTTTCTATGACTCTGGCCCTGGCCTCTGAATTGGTCTCTGAAGGCTGCAGCCTATGTGAAGGTGGTGCAGAGCTCTAGAGTGGGCCATTTGTAGCACAAAGTTGTACAACATACAATCTGTGCAACTAACAGTAAGTGACCCTGCCTCAGCCCTATGCCTGGAGAGTCGGCCTTAGGTACTCTATTAGTGATTAAAATTTACCAAATACCTAAAAAGAACCAGATGCTAAATCAGGTGTTAGGAAGATAGGACTGGTTCCTAACCTGTAGAACGTATGATTCGCTGAGGGACAAAGATGTTATGATATGATAAATTAAAATTTAAATGAACAAAGAATCTGAAGTCTCAAGTGTCAGCAAAGGAGAAATATGGAGATTGCTTCAAAGAAGAAAAGCATTTTGACCAGCTCTTAGACCAAGAAGCTGTTCTCTGAAGACACCAAGGGAACACTGTGTGGTTGGAATCAGGAAAAGTGTGTCAAGGCTATATCCTTTCTCCATACCTGTTCAGTCTGTATGCTGAGCAAATCATTCAAGAAAATGGACCTTATAAAGAAGAGTATAGCATCAGGATTCGAGGAAGACTCATCAACAATCTGTGTTATGCAGATGACACAACTTTGCTTGCTAAAAGTGAAGAGGATTTGAGGCACCTGCTGCAGAGGATCAAGGCCTTCAATATGGATCTCAACATTAAGAAAACAAACGTCCTTGCTTATCAACACTTTCATCTTGCTTGGATCCACAGTATCAGCAGTTATGAGATCTGGAGACATAGAGCATTGGGGGAAGTCTACTGTCAGAGACCTCTCCAAAGTCTTGAAGAGCAATGGGTATACCTGATTCAAGCCATAGTCTTTCCAATTACACTCCAATTGGAGTGTTCATTTCCGTTGATTAAATACATTGATCAGTTAACATTGGAGAGCTGGACAGTGAATAAGAATGAGAGGCAAAGAATCAATGCCTTTGAGCTATGATATTAGAGAAGAGTGCTGAATTTCCTATGGACTGCCCAAAAGAACACACAGATATGTCTTAGAGAAAGTGAAATCAGAATGGTCTTTGGAGACAAGTACGACAAAGCTACATCTTGCATGCTTTGAGCATGTTGCCAAGAGAGGTTATTCCTTGGAGGGGAACATGATGCTTAGAAAGGTGGAGGATCAGGGAAAGAGAAAAAGCCTCAACAAGATGGACTGACACAATGACTGTAACAAAGGGCTCACATGCCTCAGAGCTGATGAGGATGGCACAAGATAGCACAGGGTTCAGATCTGTTGGTTATAAGGTGTTATAAGTGCTTCTTAACCCAATGGCATTTAACAACATAGCAACCTAGAGGTAGATAGAAATTAGAGGCTGATTAGAGAGTGCAGTCCCTAGGGAGCGGCACTGACAACATGAAGGCTGTGCTTCTCTGCTAGTTCAAATCCACAAGCAACTCTGTGGGAGAAAGATGGGCATTCTCTTCCTGTGCCATTTACAGGCTTTGAAAGCCCACTGAAGGTTCAGCTATGAGTTGATTCCGGCACAGTAACAATTAGTTTGGGGTTTTGAGGTTTATTTTGTTTTATTTATTTAAAACTGATCTTCTATGTAGAGACAGTAATGGATGCAAAAGGCCATCAAAGCTGATTTTGTCTATGCTAAGAAGTTCCAGTGTGCCATTCTAAGGAGTATGGATTTAGCCTATGGGTGAGAGAAAGCCATTGGAGGTCTTTAAGCAGGGTTGACCTGAGCCAACTTGTGGACAGTGCATTGGTACCACTCCTGACCTGCATTTACCAACCACTCTTGTTCTCTCACCCCTTTGAAAATATTTAGCTTATGGCATATTCTTTAGGTTCTAGGAAACCATGAAAGAGATAAAATGTTCCCAGCTGCTGATGAAGTTGTAAGTTCTACTGTTATGTATTTATTTCTTTGGATTATACTTTGTCCTGTCAAACACTATTGGGTAATGTTGTTGTTGTTATGTGCCGTCGAGTCACTTGCGACTCCTAGCGACCCTATGTACAACAGTCCTAAACTCCGCTCTGTCCTGTGCCAGTCGCATTGTCTCTGACACACCCATCCCGATTATCCCAGTCACTGAATCAGTCCACCTCATAGAGGGCCTTCCCCTCCTGCGCTGTCCCTCCACTCTTCCAAGCATGATGTCCTTCTCCAAGGACCAGTCTCTCCTCACAACATGTCCAAAGTATGTTATTGGGTAATATATAGACAAAATCATTTACCTTATAACATATAATACTTTATCTCTAATAGACACCAACACACACTTTTATTTCAGGTGACTCTCAAAAAGAGTTCCATCTACAAGCACCTTTTTCCTCAAAATTGTTCCATATCTGTTCAATTAAGTGAATGTTTACCATCGGTCCCAATTCACTTAATAAGAATTGTAACTTTGCTTAGTCACAGATACCACTCAAAAGCTATCAACACATCAGTTTGACATTTTGCAAATATTGAGAAACAATCAACTCTCCTTTTTCTTTGTTTCTTTTAATGTTTATTTCTTTTATGTTTTATCAATCTATATGCACGTTGTACCAGAGATTATAAATGCAAGTCCAGGAATAAAGGAGGGTGGGAGGTGTGTTTGATAGTTTAATTCGTGTGAACACCTAATGCGCTCTCCTTTCCACAAAAAGGGCTTTTAACCTAACAATTTTTTAGATCGTAATCTTCTCTTTTAAGATTTGAGAAACTGTGGGTTTGTAGGGAAAGTCAGTAAGAGCTTGGATTCCTCATCCCATCTTTGTACGTTGCTAGCTTATGTGACCTTACAGTTGACCTCTCTGTGCCTCAGCTGTGCATTATTATGATCCCAATTTAGAAGTACCTCACATGCAAATTGGGGTAATCATGCACAAGGCCCTAGGACTGTGTGAGCATGAGATAAACTATTGTATACGTAAGACTTGGAATGGTGACTGGTGCATAGTACTGAGTTAAAGAACGGCTTTGGAACTTTTCAGAACTGCTGAAAGTGCAGAAAGCAGCCATGGGAAGGTGATGGCCAGCGTGCTGCTGTGGCTGCCTTTGCACCCTGCCTCTCTAGTCAGTGCCTGCAGAGCTGTGGTACTGAGTCTGTCTCTCTTCTGTGGCCCACAGTTTATGACCAAGAACCCTCACAAACGCCTGGGCTGCGTGGCGGCACAGAACGGCGAGGATGCCATCAAGCAACACCCGTTTTTCAAGGAGATCGACTGGGTGCTTCTGGAACAGAAGAAGATCAAGCCCCCCTTCAAGCCGAGAATTGTAAGTTGGGCAGGAGTGCCAAACTCAGAACACACTGCAGGGTGGGCTAGGAACCATGGCAGTCAGCTTGTGCCCAGACATAGCGGAAGGAGGGAAGGCATCCCGACCAGCTGGCCAGGGACACACTTCAAAACCAGACTGATGAGCGCAAGAGCTAGTCAGGACTCTCCCTGAAACAGTCTCTTGGGCTTTCAGTCATTCCTCTTGGAAAGTGTGACCTATTGCAGTAACCAAGACATATTTGAGATGCGGAGAATTCTATATTTTAATAAAGACTGGCTTATTTGTTTTGATCAAAAATGACAAATGATTTCTGATTTAGCTATGATAGTGACATAAGGCTTCTTTGTAGTAAATGAGTTTACCTTTTTAAATGAGTCCATAGAAAGAAAAATGTTCACTAAATAATAGTGACAGTCATTATATGAAAAAACACAGAACGTGAACTTGAGACATTTGAGAATGATACCAGTAGAAGCCAATGAGGAAGCCTGATGTGTAGGAGGTCATTTCTCTCCTCAGAGCGAGTACCCCTTCCTCTGTCTGCCATGTCTTCTTTCTAGTCTCCTCATGTGCCCAGGTTCTCAGACCTGCTGAGGTGGCCATGCGTGTCAGTAGGGGATGTCAGAAAGGCACTCAGAGCTCGGAACTTGGACAGGAATGGCGTGTGAAGTCTGAAACCTGACTCAGCAGAGGCCATGTCCTAGCAGTGACCGTCCGCAGAAGGGGCACCGGGAGGGAGTGTATCATGAGGGAGAGGATATTTTCATTTTGCTGGGTTTTAGCTTCATTCATACTGAGGATTTAGTTTGTGGCTGGCTGGCTGACTTGCAGGATGACCTATCAGGCTCATTGGGCAGGGACTCCAGAGTGATAAAGCTGGGGTCCTGAGATAGGAGAACCCACAGGTACCCCACATTTTGTAAGATGAGCCTTCCCACTACCACCTCAAGTGTGGGAAAGACCCCCTTTTGTACTTGGTGAATGATGAGAGGAGAATCCCTAGTTTCTGGGCAGGTTTGAGGAGAGCCTTCTTAACGATGTTGTGTTTGAGGCATGAACTGTGTGTGACAGACTCCTGGGGGCAGCGTGATGGGCCCCAGACAAGCCAGAGCACAGGACACTGGCCATTCCTGTGCTCCCGTCTTCTTCCTCTTGTGGTTTCTGGTTTTCACTGGATAACACACAGCCTGGGATAGGCTAGTGTTAGGCTCTTTTCTTAGTTAGCATGCCCTCTCTTCCCTTCACAGATCTGGGGCACACTACTGAACTGAGCTATAGGGGTGGGAGACCAGGAGGGTGTGAAATGTGGCTTCCTAGGTTCACTCGCATGGCAACCTTCCAGGAGGCAGGGTCTGGACATCTCTGCAAGTGGCCTTAAGGACAAAATTAACTGTGTCTCTGAAAAAAAAATTTTATGTGGAGGCCTGACAGAATAAGGGAGAAAAAAATGAGAGCTCAGATTTGAGAGATTTTTAACTTAGATTTAATCTAAGTTAGTAAACCCAAAGGAAGGTGAGACATAGAGCCAAGTAAAGGATCCAGACCTTACGCGTGGTCAGGGACAGATGGAATGTCAGCAGAGCTCCCCAAAATGACTTAAATGTAGGTTCTGATCAGCACAGTGAGGCTCCGGAATCCCTGGCCCCAACAGGGCAGGCTGATGAACCAGTGCTTCCTACTGGATATGGTGTGGGGGAGATGCGGCAAACCTTGGGGTGACTATCCCCAAGCTGTGAAGGGGGAAGAGGGCTTAATGTCTGCCACAGGGAATGAGGGAGAAGGCCTTTGTGGAGAAGCCTCATGAAAGGGAAATAGGAGAGATCTTTAATCATAGAAGGCACAGTGACAGTTTTGAACTATGGCTTAATAAAGCAGTCTCTAGCTTTAGTAAGACTAACATTTTAGTCTAACTGAAAATCAACGAATTTTGTTGATTACCAGGGGTCCTTTGTAGTCGTTTTACTCAAATCCAGTGGAAAGATGGCTCTGAGACTATAGCTCCCTGAGGAACTCTAGTCACATCAACCCTTTCTCCTCGCTGAGACCTCCCACCTTTAGTTTGAGACTCTAGGCTAAAAGAGAGCACAGACTTTCTGAAAAAGGAGTCACAGTTTGATGGATCACTGGCTTCACCACAGAGGATGGCAGTGATGAGGGAAAGAGCAGGAAGAACAGGTCCAGGTTGTGTGTGGGTCCAAAGGCAAGGAGAAGGAGCCTGGACACAGAAGGAAGGGGCACAGAGTCAGGAACTGGGGGCGGGGGAGAGCTCACACTTCTGGCAGGCTCCACCTTGGCCATCGGAGACTAATCTGGTTGAGAATGAAGGTGCTCAAGTGGGCAGAGGTGTGAGTGGGAATCAAGAACCACCAGAAAGGGTGTAGCCCTATCAAAGGATGCACTGCCCAAGGAGGTCTACACTAAGACAAGGGAGATACACTGTGAGAAGGGGAAGTGCAAGCTGTGGGGAACAGGGGCCAGCATATCCACCTGGCACTAGTGCTTCTCTTCCCTTAGACTTTCAAGAGCTCCTAGCCAGGACTGGACTTGTCTCCTCTGCTGGGGGTCTTCCGAGGGTTCCCACCATCCCCCAAGGGGATAGCAAAAGAAAGGGAGGTGATTTCCAGGAGACCTCACAAATGTCAAAGTCAAACTTCCTAAAACCTGAAGGCACACAATCTTCTGTCCCTGTAGACTTCAGAATTTAACCTTGCAGCTAGGGCCAGGGACCAGAATGTTTATTAGGCTTGTTTGAAATTAGTATGGAGAAGTGAATTCAAACACCTAGAAGAAGTTGAAATTTAAGATTTATAAAAGATGTTTTTGGTCACACACTGAGCCAGGTCTTTAAAGACTTGTATATATATATGTCTAGTTCTCGAGACTAGAGATTTCTCTCCAGAAAAGTATCCAAGTTGAGGAAAGAAGAGAATATTCAAAATCTATTTATCAAGTTAGAAATCTCTTCCTGAATTTGGGCTCGTTTCTGAAAAATTATGGCACCTGACCCAGTGATCGACAGCATCACCACATCTACAGCACGTCATCTACAGCAAAACGTGTCTTATGTTGAACAAAAATCCGTCTCCATGATCAATAGATTGCATTTCCCTTCTCTGAAGACTTAGTTGAAACATGAGGTATTTATGAGCCATTATCCTCCTTTTTGAGAGGGGTTATGCAGATCACTGAACCTTGCTTGCTGAACATAAGGAGTGCTTGAAGTGCTTGCCACAGAAGATAAAAAAAAATACATTCTTCAATAGGGTTTGAATCTCAAAATCAAAAAACAAAACTTCTTACCAGTGGATTCGTAGGCAACATCATGATAAATAGACAAATGGTTGAAATCGTTAGTGATGTCATCTTACTTGGATATACACAATCAGCACACTTGATACCAGCAGTCAGGAAATTGGAAGAAATACTACACTGGGAAAGTCTGCAGTCAGGATCCTCTCCATATTATTGAGGAGCAATGATGTCAGTTCGAGGACTAAGGTGCACCTGATTCAGGCCATGATCTTTCCAGTCAGTAGCTGTGCATCTGAGAGCTGGACAGTGACTAAGGATAACAGAAGAATAATTGAAGCTTTTGAACATGATGTTGTAGAGGAGTGCGGAACATCCTACGGACTACAAACAAACCATACTGACATGTCTTGGAGAAGGTGCAGCTAGAGTGTTGCTTGGTGACATTCATAATAAAGCTTCATCTCACATACTTTGGGCATGTTGCTAGAAGAAGCTATTCCTTAGAGAGGGATATCATGTTTGGAAAGATAGGGGGATGATGAAAGAGAAGACTTTCCACTAGATGGATTGACAGTGACTGCAACAATGGACTCAAGTATGTCAGAGAAAATGAGGATGGCACAGGATAGGCCAGCATTCAGTCTGTTGTTCATAGAATCAATAGCACCTAACAGCAAAAACTCCCCGTAACCAAGCCAGGGGTTGATGACGTTGCCTGTTTGGCTGGTAACAGCAGTGACAGTGGTTCTTTGTTCCGTTACCACAGCCACCATTAAACATAGGTTACATGAATGCCCACCCATAAAGAAAACTGCAGAGACATAGGGAAGATGAAGTTTAGAGCGTGGTGTTGGGAAGAAGTGATCAGGAGGATAGATACCAGCAGCTAGGTACAATGTGATGTTTATGGATCCAGCACTGAGAGCACTGAGAGGCCAAGACATGAAGAGATGAAGAGACGGGAAGGAGGCAAGTCTATGAGCAAGCAGCACCCTAGTGATCTCAAGGAGACACCGGGAAGATACAGAAGCAGATAGGGAAATCATGTGCACAAACTCCCCTAACCAAGGATCCCTGGGAGGGTCCAGACAGGGGACTGAAGGCTCTGTGAGGTCCCATTTCCTTTTTTCCTGGAGTCTTCTTCCCCTGCGCCCTAGCTATGCCCATTGAGCACCAAGAATGCTGTCAATCCCAGAAAGCTGCTTAACCATCACCTAGTTCCTAAGTTGTGCATATTGAACCTATGGGGGCCTGCCTTGTCTATAGGCCTGATTCAAGGACTGGGTTTTGTCAGTGTTAGATGCTGGAGCTCATGGAATCCAGGACCTAAGAAGAGCCAAGTCTGAGTTGCATACTCTCTTGATCACTCCCCTCACACCAAATAATACACAGCATTTCAGCAGCAGAACTGGCCAAGCCCAGGGAGCCTACATTCTGGTACAGCTGGGGGTTGTCAGCCTCTGGGTCAGCCCTGCAGAGACTGAGGTTGTGTCAGAAGAACAATTCCTAGGCAAGAATTGTAACCACTATGAAGGTCTCATCAACTACATTGTGCAAATTTCATAGCCCAAATTCAGCCTTCTGGTCCAGCTGCATCACATACCTCAATGGGCCACTGTCCCCTCCAGGCCTTTGCTTTCTTGAGATGTTTTCCAAGCTGAGGTTTCAGTTCCCTGGCACCTGAGCCTCTCTGTCTAGCTTGTGCCCTGCTGCCATTAGTCCAAAAGGTCTGCACGCTTTTAGGT